TTTATTCAAAACAACCTTCTATCATTTCTTTTCACACAAATTTTACATATAAATTAAAAAATATAAAGAAATATATGCCAGAAATGACATTTTTCCCCCAACAGTGATGTTTGTACCATTATGACAGTATGACTATTGTAAGGTCCCATTTATTAACATTAGTTAACTACATTAGTTAACATGAACTTACAATTGACAGTATTTCTACAGCATTTGTTAGTCTCAGTTTATAGAAATTTCAGCATTTACTAATACATTTTTTCAAGTCAGAAATTTTATCTGTTAACATTAATTAATGCACTGTGAACTAACATAAATAAAGACTGTATTTTAATTAACTAACATTAATGAAGATTAATAAATGCTAAAAGAAATATCTTGTTTATTGTTAGTACTCTCTCTCTCATATATATATATATATACATATATATATATATATACACAGTGGTGTGAAAAAGTGTTGGCCCCCTTCCTGATTTCTTATTTTTTTGCATGTTTGTCACACTTTAATGTTTCAGATCATCAAACAAATTTAAATATTAGTCAAAGATAACACAAGTAAACACAACATGCAGTTTTTAAATGAAGGTTTTTATTATTAAGGGAAAACAAAATCCAAAACTACATGGCCCTGTGTGAAGAAGTGTTTGCCCCCCTGTTAAAACTGTGGTTTATCACACCTGAGTTCAATTTCTCTAGCCACACCCAGGCCTGATTACTGCCACACCTGTTCGCAATCAAGAAATCTCTTAAATAGGACCTGCCTGACAAAGTGAAGTAGACCAAAAGATCCTCAAAAGCTAGACATCATGCAGAGATCCAAACAAATACAGAAACAAATGAGAAAGAAAGTAATTGAGATCTATCAGTCTGGAAAAGGTTATAAAGCCATTTCTAAAGCTTTGGGACATTATTTGCAAATGGCAAAAACATGGAACAGTGGAGAACCTTCCCAGGAGTGACCACTGTATATATATGTGTGTGTTTTGTTTTTTCCCATGAAAATAATGTTTCAATATTGAATTTTATATATATATATATATATATATATATATATATTTAATCAATAAAAAAATTAATGCAGTAATAACATGGTAACATTCAAAACTTGTATTTTTTCACATTCACTCATTAATGAGAAGTTGCTGATCAGATACACTATTTTAGTTGTATACAATAGGTTTTAGTTGAAAAATATTAAGTTATAACTATTTAATAAAGTAACGATTATTTTAGTGCAAACAGACCTGGAATGTGAAAACAGTATACAGATTTTGAATGCAATATGTTAAGCATATTTTAAAGAACAGACAGACATGCAAAAATTTCACCACAGGGGGTCTTTAATAAATTAAACCTTATAATAAAGTGTTTCCATTATTGTTATGTTACCAACAACATTGCCCTCTGACCCACAATGCATCTTTCAGTGTATGTTTTTCGCTGTGTTCTTTCATTCAAACACTCTACCGCCCTCTTCTTTTCAGAAGCAGCTTTCGCTCTCCGATTTTAATTAAGCCCCGATGGTCATGCATGTCTAATATTTGTTATTTCCCATGCCAGGGGTTAGAAAGAGTTGTAATAGGGCGCTGCGGGAGCCTCTTCTCTTTTGTTTAGAGAAACTTTAACCTCTAGTAGCGCAGATGTAAAAACAAGAGAACAGAGGTTAGGGACGCTACTCGAATGCTCTGCCCTGCTTACATGCATGTCACGCCAACGCTTGGACCTGCTCCTTACGCTAGCCTGCAAGAAGCCTGTAATACTAAACGCTGGTAGCTTTTGACGGGGTTTGCTCTTGCTTTAATCTGACTTCAGTCAAACTGAACACACAAAGAGCTGCTTCTCACTGCCTAGCCCATCTCTTTGGTGGAATAGAGAGCTTCTGTGTGGAAAGAAACATTAGAGGCCCGGCAGCAGTAAAGCTCATCATTTGAATGCTAATTCCACTAGATCCAGCTTCCTTGATCCCAGAATGAAGATCATATTGGAAGATTCAAGATTGCAGTGTTGGAGAACGTCCACCTCCTGTAGTGTTTCTGCTGACAAAAGCATTTGGTTAAAGATCTCCCTCACATTTCTTTTTCATTTATATATTTATATTCAACAGCTCTAAAAAGGCTTCTCATAGATCCTTCATTTCTTGTATGTACTGTATCTTGAATAAATAGGCAAAAATATGTATTTTACAAGAGAGTACATTATTTTTGAACATTAAATGGCTAATGGTTCCTTTGGTTTTGAATTGATGCCGTGTTAAATTTCTGCGTTTGCATTAACTGTGAGATTCTAAGATGGTAGAATCTTGAAATCAGCAATATAAATTTATTTAAATGCTGACAATTTTTGATAAAAGTACAATTACATAAAAAAATTACATTAAATTTTCACTCAATATGTGTATGCTTTGTATTTTTGATACTCGGCAATACTTTAATATTCACTACATTTTTAATTTCTTTTGTTTATGTTTCTGAATAAATTTAATAAAAAATAGAGTGAAACAGTAATATTATTAATAATATTACTATAAATATTAAAATAATTGGTTTCTATTTAAATATGTTTTAAAATATAATTATTCCAGTGGTGCAAAGCTGAATTTTCAGCATCCTTACTTCAGTCTTTAGTGTTACATGATCCTTCAGAAATCATTCTAATATACTGATTTGCTGTTCAAGAAACATTTCTTATCACCAATGCAGAAAACAGTTGTGCTGCATAATATTTTTGTAGAATGTAATTTTTTCGGGGTTCTTCGATGAATAGAAAGTTTAAAAGTACACAAAACTGAAATCTTTTGTGACATTCAAAATCTCTATATAGTCACTTTTGATCATTTTAATGCATCCTTGCTAAATAAATGAGGTGATTTCTTAAAAAAAATAAATCTTACTGACCTCAAACTTTAAAACGGTAGTGTACATTCAAGCAACAAATAAAACATCAAACTGTCAAACTGTATTAGAATGAATTTAGCCTCATCTTGACATGAGACACTCACTGAAGATGCTACCAAGGCATGTATTAAGTAGAGGAAAAAGCAGCTCAACAGGTTTTGAAGCAGATGTTATGTTCTGCATGGATAACTTAAGATATTCGGTGTTATATGTTGTGTTTCTTCTTATGTGTGCACTCAGCGTGACTGTGTGACCGAGAGGGAGAGAGTAAATGTGAGAGTGTGTGTAGAAAGTGTGCAGTGGCGGCTCAAAGCGGTGTCTGTAGTGTCGTCGTGTGATGGATGGGTCAGTGTCTCTCTCCATATCACAGAGAAAATGTATTTTAACACAATGTTCTTGTCTGACTCATGCATGTTCACATAAATTCTCAGACAGCTGCATAAGTAACTCTGAGCAGCGATAGCTGTTGCCTCTGGAAGAAAAAGTCGGCAAATGACATCTCACAGAGAGCCGTGAATTAGTCAAGGGGTTTGGCTGGTTGGGAGATGCTTGAAATGCACCATTATGAGGGCAAAGAGCATCATTTTTCATTGGTAGGACTTTTTTTATAATCAAAAAATATATATATAGATGTTTTGCTAGTGACGATTTTTAGAGAGCTCTTAAAAGAATGAATTGCGGTCAACATAAACATGTCATGCGCTGAATAATATATTTATATATTATTATTGCATATATTTTAATATGCTGTTTATTTTATTATTAGATTTCACAGAATGTTTGATCTCAATGTGGCAAATGTATATGTTCAATTAATATATTTTAGTTTGAAAATGTTCCCATTAATAACTCTGATTCAACGATGTATTTGCATGAATTCATTTGCATCATCACTCAAAATGTTCACAGAAGTCTCTGTGTGGAATGCATATTATATTATATGTGTGTGTGTGTGTGTGTGTG